GACCTCGATATCTGTTTCTACTGTGCGTATGTTAGTTTATCAGAATTGCATTCTATGTCATATTAATTTTATGCTTGCAATTTTTATGACTTTTTATGAATATTATTAAATATTATAATATATTATATATTATATATATTAAGAAAAAAATGTTAATTTTAAACTATTTAATTCGTGAAACTATTTGTATGTCTTACGACAAAATACATCTCTATTATATGTATGACTACCTGTTGTATATGTATACCTGTGTTTCACAAATAAAAAAATCTGATTCAGATTCTGCATAAATATCATACTTCTAACAACACATTTTATTACATCGGGCATGTCTTCCAATGTGTCTTCGAATCTAAAAAGCAGTTAACCCTGCCTGTCATCCCTAGAATTTCCCGCTCTGTTCAATCTCAAAACGCTCGACAAATATTTTTACGAAATAATAGTTAACTCGTTACATTAAAAACGATCCGAGCATAAATTTGGAAGTTATTAAAAAACCTTTTTTTTGACAACGATAACTTTTGAATGGATCAACCAACTTTGATATAATTGTTGGCAATCAACGAGGTATTATATGGACAATAATAAAATATGTAATAAAAAGTTGAGAGGTAATTAGATTTTTGTAGTAGTAGTAGTAGTAGTAAGTAGAAATATATTAGCCATGTTGAGGCGGCAAAAACCACTACACCATATCGTCTCGCGGGTGTCATATTAAGAGGCAACAGAGGGAAACCGAAACAGAAGATGGATGGCAACATCTTTCTGAAAACAGAGCAAAGTAATAAAAGTCTACGATTGCCGATACGACTGCAAATATTCTTGCTGTTTGGCAAACAATGGGAGTAGCCTATGATCAGCAGTGGATAGTCCTATTATAAGTAAAAAAAGGCATACTACATACATCCCACTACTGGGCACAAACCGCAGTGAGTTTTAGGATAAAAAAGAGTAAATTGAGTTGACTACAACGCGGGCCGACTTCACATAGACCTAAAAATTTTATTTTATTTTATTTATTAAGGTTTACCAAAGTTTGATTACACTGTATTTAACAAAATAGCTTGAGAACTAACTTACGTAGCTAAGTGTAACAATCGTTTAAGGTAAACACCACATGCATCGAGAAAGATTATAATAATTATATATAAATACGAATAAAAAGAAGTATAAATAACTAATAATGAAAATAAGTATGTGGTAAAAAACTATTATTATTTGTTGGTTTTAGATCAGGCTAAAGCTAGAACTTTCTTAGTTTTGGCAAATGAGTCAGTGTGAATGTCAACTTTGTCCATACCATAGCGATTTTCACATTTCCACGAATCTTTTAAAAACTACTCAAACCTCAAATTTCCCCGCGAAATTATTTATCACCAGTTCATTATGCACGCGAAAAATAAGCAAATAAAATTTGCTTAGTAGTTTCATTGTACCCCGCGCGGCAAGCTAGCTACACGGCTCTCGTATTTGCTTAAATAAAACTCCTAAAAATGAAAAGAAACGTTTGCATGATTGTGGAATACATTTACCTAGTAATTAGTCGTTCAGCAGTATTACGAATTATTCCATCAATTAGTGGTAAAAATCTTTCAGTGTACTTAATTTTAAATTACTTATATCGGACTTAAATTAAATAACATAAATAACTTAAATGTAAATTATTTATGTTATTTAATTTATTAGTAACTAGAGACAAAATGTTACTACTTTTTTATTTTAAATTGGATTGTGAAAAAGTCGAATAAAAATTTGCAGCATAACTCAATTTATTTCGCAACGGTTAAACTAATTTTAAGTTTTATTTCGTTAATTAAAGAAGTACATCAAACGTATAAAATAGAAATAAACATCTCAAAGAAGAGAAATAATTAACCCTCCTATTATGAAGTTTCGTAATCGAATAAAAAGTAGCCTGTAAGTTGCCTCGGATCACAAACTAACTACACACAAAATTTAATAGGAATTCGTTCAGCAGTTTTTGCGAGAATCGTAAATACGAGTAACAGACAGACGAAAATCTAAGCAACCACTAATTTGGCTTCAGTATCCATTATTTTGTCCCCTGGATTTGGCTTTACCAGAAAACTTTAGAATTAAAGACACGACCTTTCTACAGATTTAATATGGCTCATATTTCACGAAATATGATATAGATTTATGACTCATATTTCACGAAATAGAGGGGCACCTTGGCCATACACAAATGACCTGGTAAGACATGCAGCAAGTTGTTGGGTCAGGTAGCTCAGGACTATGTTTTTTGACTTTAATGTGGGGAGATTTCTGTAAAATATAGCATAAATTAATTGAATACATCATTGTGAAAAAGGTTCAAATATTTGGCTTTGAAAGTAAAATAAATAAATATTGAAAAAAAAAATAGATAAACACACAATTTAATTAAATCTCCAACATTAATTTCTAAAGCTGCTTCAATTTTGTATTTCTAATAAAAAATTGCGCTGGCCTTTTTCTATCGTAGTTTGCCCTCAGTAGGTAGTTTTTTTTACTTAGTTTGCTGCAGGAACAGCCTTAACAGCGCGTTGCCTTTTAGAAATATTAGTTCTGCCTGTCGAAGCGGTATGGTAGTATTTTTAAACTACATGGAAGAGCTATTAGGTATATTGAAATTACTAAATTGCATCGAACAGTCTCATCTACATAATAGTAGATACACATATTGATATTAGTATGAGGTGTTTGATAAGTTGCTAAATTGTTCAGTTCAGAATTAATGTTGCATATGCAGCCACATCATGAATAATAGGGTTTACAGTTCTAGGAAGAAGTAGTCGCTTCTGGTACGACTGCGCTCTTCATTGCCAGGCGCTTGAACAAGGCGTTAGAAGCACGAGAGAGAGAGAAAGAGGGCTTACGGTTTAGATATTTTTGTAAAGGAGACATAGCGCAAGCCGGAGAAAAAAGGCATTTCGTGCAAGGTTTACGGTAGATGCGGCCGCAGGTTTTAGAATGAATATAAGGTCCAGGAGTAAAATAAATTGCGCATTTTGGCAAGCGTCCTAACTGGACACTGTTTTCTTAAAAAGCACATGTCCATCCTGGGAATAAGCAACTCAAGGATGTGAGGGTTCTGTTTCATAACAGATGAAACAGCCAGTTAATCGGTTAGGATGTGTAGTTACACATCCTAACTGATTGCGGACCCTTAATGCGCAAACGTAACACTCATCTGCAATCCTCTTTCAACTCTCTGTAATCCATTCAGAAGAAGTGAAACTGCTCACTTCTAAGAAACTTCTATTCATTTAAGACATAGGGCTTCACAGTGAACTATAGCCATAGCAACGATCACAATAGATCATTTATGTCGCAGTGATAGTGCTCTTCTTCCCTATACCTGCATAGCCGCTCGCACATTATAACAAAAAAAAGCCCAGGAGTGCTAGTTCAAGCCAGATTCGAGAGATATAGTCCGATTGCCTAAAATCGCGAATAAATCACTCACCACAAGGGCTAGGAATGAACGCACATATTATGTTGAGTTAGGACAACTTAGTATCGCTGTTTGCGCGTATACTGCAGTACTCTTGATAGTTTTCTTCTCTCAATCTCGTGTAAACCGTTGATAATTTTCAACTTCACAAGTTGTCGACGTGATTGAAATTAGCTGAAGAAACATTCTTATCATTTTTGGTAGTCAGAGCTTTATCTCAAGAATTGACTGGTTTTCCATACCACCTGTTGTATTCGATGGGGTTGTGATCCCTTACTTTGACAATGTCAAAAATCTTGGTGTTTACCTTGATAGTTCCTTAAATTGGAAACGCCAACTGAATGAGGTAAGTAAGAAAACCTTTGTCGCTCTTAGTTCACTGCGTCGCCTTCGATCATTTCTTCCCATTCCTACAAAAATTATGCTCGCACAGTCTCTTCTCCTTCCGATTCTCGACTATGCCGACGCAAGCTATGTAGACATAACTAAAGACCAGCTAACTAAGCTTGAGAGACTTCAAAATACTAGTATTCGGTTCATATTTGGATTGCGCAAATTTGACCACATTTCCCAATTTCGCTCACGTCTCAAGTGGTTACCTATCCAATTTCGCCGGAACATGCATATTCTTTCTATTCTGTACTGTGTCTTATTTCACCCTTCTACTCCTCCTTATCTTAAGGAGAAATTTAGTTTTGTTGGGCTTCCAGGGGAACCTTTACGCTCTTCAAGAAAACTCATTCTAAGGGTACCAACTCACAATACATCTTTCTTTAATAAATCTTTTACTGTACAGTCTATTAAGCTCTGGAATGCCCTACCTTTGTATTTACGCGAAGCTCAGACTATTGTAGTCTTTAAGCGACTTCTTAAAGAGCATTACTTGTCTCAATCGTTCGAAAATCATTAGGATAAATTATGTGATTATGTAGTTTTGTATTTATTTGTTTATGTTATTGTTAGTGGTATATATTTGAGGATATATGTATGTATATATGTGTATGTGTGTATATGTATGTATGTATATGTATGTATATGTATATATATGAATATATGTGTGTGTGTATGTTTATGTATATACCTATGTATATGTGTATCATATTTTTTTTAATATATTAATTATTTACTTATATGTTATTTTATTGCATGTATTGATATTATATTAGGTATATTTATATTGCACCACCTACCTAGTACTCACTGTTTTATTCCTTTACACCTTTGGTTGCCTGGAAGAGATCGCTATGTAGCGATAAGGCCGCCAAATTGTACATGTAATCTGCTCTCTGTTATGTTCTTTGTAAATTTGTTTGTGGTGTGCAATAAAGTATATTAATTCATTCATTCTTATCATCATTATATCAATAAAATAGTGATGAAAATGTCCCTCTGTAAACCTATCAATAGAATAGTATGAATAAATTGAAATACTTTTAATTTGTTTGTGTTTCTCTTTCCATGAATTTTATTTATAAAATAATGAATTAATATATCATAATTATTATACAAATAATATAATAATAATATGTTTCCAAAAAGTCCGCTATGAGCCTTCCTTTTTTATTTTGTTTATTTTGCGTTTTATGCGCTCAGTGTACGCGGCTACTATGTTTGTTAAAAGTGGTAAGGCTGAAGACTTTTCGTCGTCTTTTACTCCTACTTCGGCACAAAGTTCTGCTCTTGTTCGTTTTTCTTCAGGCATTGAAGCCTCAGAGGTCATTACGGTTGCAGTATACAGGTATCCATTCCATTCCAGGTATTCTTTTATTAAATCATTAACTAACAAAACTTCGTCTGGTGGCACAGGAGCATAAAATGTATGGCAATTCCCGTTGTTTGAACATTGTTGTTCTTGAAGTATTTCAATGACCTTTGCTCGCATCTTTAATAAGAAAAAATCACAATAAAATAAGTAACGTAGTTCAGAACTGAAATTGTATTAGCGTTTAGCAATTGCAGAGATCTATTTCTCCTTTTGTTTCGCTTAGAGGCGAAAAACTAACTGTCGTATTATCTTCTGTCGTGTGAAGTTCCCAGTAAATAGTATTGGGTTAGCGGTGGAAGTAATAATAAACACAATTGAGGGGAGTGCAAGGTGCTCTTTAAACTAGGTAAGAAATAAAATTTCATTTTACATGCGGATAGAATACTTTTAACCAGTTTAATGTGAAGGATTTCTGCAACTTAACAACTGAATATACTAATTTAAATAATATTCTTTTAATAGAAACCATTTTAAATAGATTAAGGGTGACAAACAGCACACCACTGAAGTGCGGACCAGAGAACTTTCGTGCTGTGCTTATGGTGAGCGGCGATGACAGATACTCTTACACCGATAGCACATGGCAAATTAAATAGAATAGAATGAAATCATTTTTATTCAATATTGATTACATGTAATTCTTATTAAAGGTCATTTTACTTTTACCACTGCTTTAAAAAAAAGCCTCTGTCCTGGGAAGAACCATCAAGAAACCAGTGGGACTTTTTTAAAAGTAAAACTGACAATATAATATTTATACAATTGTTATGAAAACATTTAGAAGCAACATGGTAGCGATCACCTCATCCCCAGGGATCATTATCGATCATGTACTCTTTAGTAGTACAATAACACTTATTAAACATTTTTTGCTTAATATATATTATAACCTTTTGCTAGATAGGGTCTGCACTTTTTCAGGTACTTTGTTGCCGGCCACATAGCTCGAAGAACCGACAACCGGTAGGGAAAAAAGTTTTTCGATTGGTAGCTTCGTACCGGTAGGCGTAGTGTGCAACCCTCCACTAGCTGGAGTGACTACCTGGTAAGACATGCAGGATGTCGATTAATGCAGGTGGTTCAGTACCGTGCTTTGTGGCATTCCTCGGGGGAGGCCTATGTTCAGCAGTGGACTTGTAAGGGCTGTAATGATGGTGATGAAAAAAATAAATTAAAATTTTTATTATTAAAAAATAATAAAACAGGTTAAATTACGTTTATTTACTAAAGTATGCAGTAAGTTACCTCAGATTGTACATTGTTTAAGTAACCACAGTTTCGTAATAATGATTTTATAGCGTTCAAGAGGTCTTTATCTGATATTGTTTTAGATGTATTCATTTTTAGCGGAATATTAATAACTTTTTAAATAACTCCTCTTTATTAATAAATAGGACCTCAGGTTTTCTTAGTTTTTGTAATTTTATTTACATGGTGAGACATTAATTTTATATGTATTTGACAAGTTCAAGTCAGTACAATATTTTAGAATAAAATCTTATAACCAGTATAACTAGTGATTATATACTCTTTGCTTTTAACGATATTACCAGTTCCTTGAATGGAAAACAAGTGAATAAAACCTTTTTGTGTTTTTATTGCATTTGTTTTAACTTATTTAAAAATCCCTATATATTATCTAATGCTTCCCATAGCAGCCACTTTCATTACGGCTGTAAGGCCAATGAGATGAATAAGTGAAGCGTGTACGAATTCCAAGTCATAAAGCATTAAAACCTTAAGATTGCAAATATAGAGCAACAAGTGCAAGGCAGCAACGCGCAGCGTTATATGGACAAATTTCTACCCCACTCATGTCAGGACTACATAGACGAATGTTTAAGTGACAGAACTCTGCGCGGGGCTGGATTCGGAGAGAATAAAAATATGGTACGTTGTGGTCAAAAGTGACTATTAAAAGAATATCGTACTCCTTGGAATTAAAGAGGTACATTATAATAATTTCCAAATATATATTGATTCCTTTTTGATTAGAATAGAATAGTTATTATTAGTTGTATACTTTAAGTAGTATCGCCATTTTTACACCACGGCTTTTGTACGCTTTATTTGTGCGATTCTGCGAAACAAAAAGGACCTGACTATACAAATTGTGTAAAAACCGTGTAGTTATTTTCGCCATTTTTGTAACGGCTCTAGCCAAGTTGACATTCCACATCCATAACGCTAATAGAAATTTGAAAAATAACTGAGTATATTACATAAAATCTTAACATTAAGGTTAAGTTCAAGATACGCAATAACATATGAAATATAGTATATGATAGATATAGCATATACAGCGTATAGTTTATAGAAAAACAGTATAGCTTAGACTGAACTGAGCTTAAGTCACATAACCGTCGTGTAACTAAACTTTGATTTTATTATTTTTATAAATTTCTATTTGCATTTACGATTGTAGATAGTCAACTTACCCAAAGGCATTTCTTTAAATGGTTGTTGATCTACAAATAACGTTTTACAAACGAAATGTTTTTTTTATACCGAAAAACATAATAATATTTCGTTTATTTAATTCATATATCCTAAAATTTTCCAAGGGTTCTTACCTACAAGTAAAACTTTAATGGCCCTTACTCCATTCATACACAAATACTAATGCATAATAACATTAAAACTACAATCCTTCCAGTTCTTCAAAGTGTTAATTATATTTATTTTGATAAACCCTACAAAACTTTGTATTCTATAGTAATTTTAATCCCAACGGAAATGAACAACCATTAAGTTATTAGCGCACGAAACCGCAACATCTCGGAAAAATGGCGTCGTTGGAATCAATAAAACATTTTGATACACTTGGGAGTATCTATCAGGTACACAACGAAATACGAAATGGATTTTGTTGTTTGTTTACTTCTAAGAATAGAAGTTTACATTGGAACAAAATGTAGAGTTACCAATACAAGTAAAAATTCTGTGTGTAAATTATACGTAAAAAAACAGCACTCAGCACGACCGGGGAAGGACGACGCTCTTATGGAATATCAGCGTTAAATAGTAGTTCAAAACTGCTGCGTTTCGTAGATACATAGAAAATTATTTATTGCACTCAAACAAAAAAAAAATGGTACAACGGCGAATTTAGTGCCGAAGCGGCATCCTCTGCCAGCTAACCTTTAGTAGTGTGGTGAGAGCTATGGGTAGAGTCGTAAGAGAAATTACTTACTTATTTACACACACTATACAAATTATATTATATAATATGAGAATGTTAGTTTATGCGTATATACACTTATACACATATAGACACACATACATATATATATATATATATATATATATATATATATATATATATATATATATATATATATATATATATTAAAATAAAAATACTCTACTTATTAGTAGAGTATTTTATTAAATACATACAATCTAGTAGAGGAAATTATAATTATAATAAATTAGTAATTTTAAATAATGTGCCTCAACCTTACGTTTAAACGTATTTTTTGAAGGAGCATCTTTTAAACCTCGTGGAAGATTATTCCAAAAAGTAATTGATGAATACCGAGTTAAGGAATCCGAGTAGTATGTAGATTTACGCATCGGGATAGTTAGTTTTGGTGGTCATCGAACGGGATAAGCTTAAATATGAAGAACGCCCTTTTAGATAAGCTGGAAATAAGGATTGTGAGGAATACCATATCGTATGGTGAGTTTAGAGAACCGGAGACCCTTCTTTACAGGAAACGAGGCATTTCATCTCTCTGCCTGACCCTGGCCTCAGGGTTGGCAGTGCATTTGCGTTTGTAACCTTTATAGTATAAAAAATATTGGTTACATAAAATCGCATAAGTTATTATGAGAGATTGTGAGACGTCAACAAGCGTCCCTAGGTCATCAAGTGAAGCGGTGTTACACGTACGCGCTGCAACCCGCAGACTTAGAAGAGTAATGCTGTGACCAAACGAGTCAATACGGGAAGTCGCCTTAGAATGCCTTAGCATTAAATTTTGATTTGGATTAGATATTTTGACTTTTTTGTTTTATTTTGTAAATATTTTTAATAAATGTAGGATGTAGAAACAGTGAATAAAATGTGTGCTTGATTGCTTTGAGCGCTTTAGAGAAACAGCTATTGCAAAGCATCTGGCGGGCTCTACTAGAATTGAGCTGAAAGTAGACGAGTTGTTGTGGAGGAAATCCATGTGCTCAAATTTTTCGTTTAAAAATATGGGGAAAAAAGTTTTCCCTATATACGCAGGCAGATTTTTTTTGTTTCCCCGCCTTAAATTGAGAAACGTTTACGCTTCGCAGAAGTTGCAAATAACCAACAACGCGTGACTGCGGTGTTTCAAACGATTCCAGAAGAAACGTTTGTTGCAAGTTTCGAACATCTTTACAACCGATGTCACATTAGAGAAATATCTTGTAGCTAAAGGTGATTTCTTCGGTAGCCAGTATAAGTATTATTTGTTATTCTTGTTTCCTTTATTTTCTAATACTAGACACAAAAATTTATATATATTTATATATATTAAATACACTATGTGTAGTAAGGGAGAATTTACTCTCTTTCCATGTGCTAATTATTTAGAGTTAGATAAGTTTAAGTACATACAAAAGTACGAGTATCTACTCTGTGTACGTGACCGTGTTTGATATATGTGTTTCTGGCGACCTGAAATCAAGTCCGATATCTAATAAAAATATTATTTAGCTCTATCTTTCGACTTTCCAGGCACTGGTAAAAGGCAGAATCGCAACTCGCTTGAAATTACAAGACCTGTGTTCAACAGTCCTTTGCCCAGCGTGCTAAGCGTGGAGAAAGATAAAATTTCAGTGCCATAGGTTTCTTACTCCGTTTACATGTTACACCCTATTTTTTTCCGACCGTAAGAAAGGTCACCTAATGTATTGTCAATTTCATTTTTTTTGTTGTACTCTTCATCACGTTAATTTTCAAGACATTTCCTATACTTTCAGTTAAAATATCAACAACCTTTGCATCGTTATACATAATGTTGGTGTTTATTTGACTATGTTTGGTATCACATATTAAAAAAGCTGTAAGCAGTTCTACAAAAATTATTATCTCATGTATTTAGGTGAGTTAAGTAGACCGCATAGGCTCAGCGTATTTTTTT